CCCCCCCCCCCCCAAACCCATTGTCCCATGTGTTACAGAGTAGAACAGCTTCGTGGGATTTCTTAGCTGTAATCTTTCTAGAAATAGATCACCTTTCTTTCATAGAGCCACTGAATGAGTTAGAACAGCCAAGGTTAGGAACCAAGTGATTGACCATTTATTTGTGCCACCCAGGGCTCTTTGTACACTATGATGTGATCCCTCAGAATCACCTGGGGAGCTTGTTAAATGCACATTTTGATGTAGTAGGTCTGTGTGTGTCTGTGTGTCTAACAAGGTTCCCCGGGATGCCGAGGCTGCTGCTCCATGGAAACTACTTTGAGAAGCAAGGATGAAGAACACTAGAAAGAGCACCTGGCATGCTCAGTGTGGTTACTGTTAGGGTCACCACTGGTTTTGTTACTTGGCCTTTTCAAACAGGCACCTGAAGCAGCTCCACATTCAGCTGACTGGCTTTTCCAGGGATCAGTTTTTTCCCTGGATTCTCCTTCTGTTCCACTATGTGACCTTTGCACCTGTCCTGAGCAGCAGCTGTGGGAGCGGGGAGCAGATGGGGGTGGGGGGGTGGCTCTACCCAGCTGCTGCAAGGTTGAGTCTTCAGGTTTGCAGCTGAGTCCATTTTCACGCAGTGTTACTTGAACCTGATTTAGTTAAGTCGGTGTGTTTCCTCTTTTTACTCATCTGTGTTTACAAAACACAAGGAGGCCATCAGTCTCTCTCCTCACTGTAGCCCAGGCTGCCTACTGTGGTGTACCCCACTTCCCTTCCTCTCAGAGCAGTAGTTGTACCTCCAACTTTCTGCATTGTTTTCCAGTCCCCCTTCTGAGGGGGAAAGAGGAATGCTATCGCTGTGGCCTGCTGGGTGTGGTGGGGTGGGGTGTTCTGTGTTCACCTGGATTGTCAGGACCCACAAATTAACCTCTATAGACCCCCCCTCCTCATCTTTTCTCCTTGCAGCTCTTCATGGGCTAAATCAGAGTGAAGGGGAACCCAGTGACCTGCATGTTTGCCTGGGGAAAGATCTGGTGTAACTGTGGGGCTGTGGGAGCCCAGAAAGTCTGGGCTCACTTTCCACTTCTGCCACTGACTTACTCTATCATCCTCCCCTCTGACAGGGAGTTGTCTGGTGGGGGCTAGTGCTATGGAGAAAGACAGCTGTCCCTGGACACATCCCATGAACTCTCTTGCTGACTGGCCCTCTGAAGGAATCCAGTGTAGCCTGTGATAGCTCCTTTCTGCACACTAGGTTTTTATTCCCTGTCCACTGAAGACAGTGGGGAGGGCCCCATCTAGTCTTCTTGACAGACAACGAGAAACAAAGGCCCTCCTCCTCCAGCCAAGGGGAGAGTGCTTACCCACTCCCCAGTGCTCCCCAAGAGGCTCTGGGCCTCTGCTGGCCCCTGAGAAATGGTACCTGTATGATGGAGCACCAGCCACTATCCTGTGGACCACTGACCCCTGAACTTTGCCTCTGACTTCCCTGCCTGATAGTAGACCTGGGATAACCTCCGGAACGTAGTGTGCATTCTTTGTTTTTGTTTTGTTTTCAAGTATGTTCTTGCTTAACGTTTAATTGGCTCCAGTCAGTAGGAAAGCGCTCCAAGAGGGATTATTTATGGCTTACTGTCAAGAGTAGCTATAAAAAGGGCAGCAATGAGCTGGAGATGCTGGGAAGGCAGAGAGGGCAGGCGCAGGAGTGTGTGTGTGTCTGTGTGTGTGCGCGTGCGCGCCGTGCGCGCATGTTTGCACTGGATGAAATCAGAGTTTCGCTGCCTCAGCAGTGTGGTTTAAATTGAAGATTAACCCTTTGACCTTCACAGTGTCAAATCACTTGCAGATGGAGACTCCCCCCCTCTTTCCCCCTTGTTCTCTGTGTTACTTTGGAGTGGGGGAGGGAGGGGGGCACGTCTTCTCTTTCTTTCTGAAGAAAGTTTGTTGTTCGTGCAGCTGAGGTTTGAAGGGCTCAGGAGCCAATCTGATTAAAAGCAGCACTTGGCTAAATTCTGGAAAATCCTGCAAGCAGGGGAAAAAGTTTAATCCTCTTGTGCTCAGTGCATAAAGGGCCTGGTCTTTTATTTTTCATGTTAAAACTGCAATTGTTTTAAGAGAACTCCTCTTTCTCCTCTTCATGGCCACTTCTTTCTTCCCTCTTACTCTCCTTGCCCGCCCTTGGCCCTTTGCTGAGCTGATAGGATTAACTTGCCAGCCCTGAGAAATGCAGATCTGAACTTCTATTAGAAATGATAAGGAGATCTGTAAGGTTGTGCTGGGGAGTTACGGTGATTTTTACAAGTTATTATTTCCTTTTAGCATCAGCAGAACCGAAACCGTGCGTGGTGGCAAGTTCTCCTCTTCCTACACAACCTTGCTTTGAATGGAGAAGAGAACCGGAATGGAGCAGGTCCTAGGTGAGACTGAGCTGCCTTCTCCACATGGGACACCAGGAGCATCATCTGGAACAGGGACATCGGGGAGGACTGGCACTGTGTCTTGTCAAGTTGTTTTTTGTTTTTTTATTTTTGAAATTTCTTTCTGTGTGTACATAAGACATACCCAAATGGGACCTTCTTTCCCTGTTCAAGGCCTCAACCAGGAATAGGGGCCTTTGTCAAACACTGTTGAAGGAAAGGCTGATGTGTCTGTGATGGTGGGACCTCCCACACACTCTGACAAGTAGATTCTTCAGTCAGCAGTTGTCGAAGATGACCAGTTAGTGATGTCCTCTGGGGAGCGGACTATAGCTTTTCCCCAGGAGGTAGGTTTAAAAAAGAAGACTCAATTAGGCTTCCAGTTCCTATCAGCCTTCCGCTGTGGATGGGGACCATGATCTGTATGGTGACAATGCTTTAACCATCCAGGGCCTCAACCAGGGATTTTCCAGCTGAGTATGGCAACTTCACTAGGCCCATCAGCCAGCTCCACGGCTGCGTGCTGATTTGGCTCAGCCAGTGCCCACCTCAAGGGCTCAGGGATTCTTGCCCAGCCCCTGTCATCTCCAGTAGACCTCAGGGAGGGTTGGGTTTCTCCAAGGACCCCTCAGATGTGCCCTCAAGTGAACCAAACTTCTGGCTAGACCTCAAATTTGACCTGGTCTCACTCAGAGGCCCCAGGATTGGTCCTGAGGTGCAGAGCCACTACCACTTGTGGCTACCTAGGACCTGCTAGATGTCAATCATGGATGTGCTGAATAGCCAGCAGTTCGTGCCTTTGTCAGCTCCTCTTTTAAAACACACAGCCAGCCCACTGCACTCTACCCACTATAGGGCAAAAAGGGACAGGTTTGCAGTGGGCCTGGGAAATGTGGCTGCAGCCCCACCTACAAGAATCTGAACAAGAGGAACACTCAGACCCCCTTGGTTTCCATGGAAACAAAGTACCTCCTCCTCCTTACTCCCATTCCTTTTACACACCTAGTGGGATACAGGAAGAAGCCAGAACAGTGGCTTTGCCCACTGAAATGTGTCTTTAAGAGTAACAGTGATTAGAGCATGGAACCATCAAAGTTGGATACACGTTTCCTGTCTTTCTCCAGCTTCCAGCTAGGCCAAAAAGGCCAGCTCTGGAACTCAGCAGGATCGAAGCTGCCTCTGAACTTCCTTTGTCTCCCTGCTGTGGCGCTAGTGGTGAGAACTTAAAGCAGCTTATCTGAGGAGTCTGATAGCAGCCCTCTCTGAAAAGACAAAGGGAATCTAGTAGTCAGACATTTAGGAATTAAATGATCATTTTTGCATTTCTAAGAAAAATAACATTGGTGCTAAAGGTGAAGCAATGCCCAAAGACAAGGTGGCTTCCTTGGGCAGAGAAGATTCCAGAAGCTACCCAAGGCAATTGGAGGAGGGATTCAAAATGGACTCTCAGATCTGAACAAGCACAAGGTCCTGTGATTGTGCAGAGAGGAGGTCTTCGGTGCTGTGGAGCAGGACGCGGGTCTGGATGGACAGTTGGGCAGATTGTTCACTGCACAAGGGCACATGCAGAGGGAGCTGTGGAGGCTGTGGTCCTGCCTATGCTCTGCTCACTGAGTCATGTGCCGTCATGTGGACTGTATCTGCTCAGAGGAAGGGGTGCCTTTTCTTATTTTGCACAAAGGTGCCATATGGACTCACAGTGACTCTGAGGAGGACCTCAAACTGTGCATAAGTCTTTGTTTTGTTCTGTTTGGATATTCTGGAGGTATTACCTCTTTTTGGTCAGAATTATATCTCAGGGTGTGTACCGTGGTTTGTCTGCTACAAAGGTGGGTTCCTGCTTACTAGGAGAAGGAGCCCAGGGAACAGACAAGAAGAGTGACTAGGACACGCTGACCATTGTGAAATCCAGTCTCCATACCAATTTCTGATGTATATGTAGGAGATGTGTTGTTTTCTCTTCTCCTGGAGCAAGGCTGGGACAAACTGGTTGCTGATGTATGCTTGGGTGACACACATAGAAACCAGCATTACTTATACTGGCCACTTTGAAGCCTTCTTTGCAGACTTTCCACCTGAGCTTAGAACATATATGTGTGTGTGTGTGTGTGTGTGTGAGAGAGAGAGAGAGAGAGAGAGAGAGAGAGAGAGAGAGAGAGCGCAAATGATCCAGGCCTTGGTACTGAGGTACAGCCAGCCATCAGCTTCAAAGACCTAGACAGGCCCAGGCTGGATGCCCTATGGCCTGACAAGAGAACCAACCTGAGTTTCACATCCAGGGGGAGGGTGGTCTGATTGCACTGCTCTTTACAGTGTGAGGTCAGTACCAAACTCACTATCCTTAGTCAAGCCAGGCAAAGTGTAAGGTGTCCCCCACCTCTTGCTGCTTCTTACTGCTTCTCCCCTTAGGAAAAAAAAAACAAAAACACAAAAAAACCCAGGTGGTAGCTGGCAGAATAGCCCCATGAGGGAGAGAGGTTCCTCTTGGCTGGTTGTTTTAATTGGCCAAGTCATCTACACTGGTCCCTTCCCCCTGGGCCTGGTGAGTTGGCCAGAACATTCCAGCCTCTGGAGACCCGCCCCTCCCCCTGGGTCCCTTCCCCCACCCCAGGAGCCTGGCTGTCTCCAGTGAGGGGGTGGGGAATCAGGTTTAGAGGGAGGGAGAGTCTGACCTGGGTCCTGACCTGTAACCAGCTAAAGACTAGTGGGGCTTTTGTGATTTACTAGGGTAAAGAGCCCAGTAGGGAGAGGGACTGGAAACTTCCCTCCTCTATGTAGAAATGCCCTGGAGGAAGGGAAGCCTGATATTCAAGGTCAAAACAGTCCTTCTAATTCAGAACCCCAGGGTAGAAGTTTCTAGAAGCCAGACAGCTAGCTAGGGAGGGAGCCTCTCCAGGCCAGACATCTGACTCCCAGAGTGAGGTTGGAGGATGACTTCCCCTGGCCTCTGCTGCCCTGGACTCTGAAAGTCGGGGACCAGAGAGCCGTCCCCACCCCCATGGCTGCCATCTCTTGCACAATCCGAGGTGGAAAAAGATCACCTCTCAGTGACCTTCTCCAGTCCCCAGGGAGTGAGTCTGTGTCAGAGCTTATGAGGCCTGTTCAGAGGGGCCGGGCTGACCTGTCCAACCCAGAAAATCATGGACCCCCAGTCCTGCACCAGCGGCCCTTGGGTCAGGGGCTGTGGCCTCCGTTTGGGGCGTGGGTGGGAGGGGTCTGTTTGGGACTCTAGGAGGTTTATAGTCACCTCAAAGAGGGTGAGGGAACCATGGTAACTGTCCTGGTTAACAGGAGCTCTTTTCAGGAAGGGGGGACTTAAAAGGGACAAAGAACAGCAGAAGACATATCAGCTGCTCACCTTGCGGCTCTGTGGACTCCGGACGCCCGGCTCCTCAGTGCTGCATGGGAGAGGGGGGAAGCAGAGGAGGAGAACCTTGGGGAGAGGTAACACTGGCTGGACTCTTCAGAAGGGGTTAACCTATCTGCCTGTGAAACCTCCTGGGGACTGGGCAGACTTAGAGCTGGTGAACACTTGAATCTTAAAGGAATAGCAAGGGGGAAAAAACAGTTACATGAGCAACCTGGTGCTAGAGCCAGTGGAGCCCACTCTTGGGCCATTGCCCCTCTCTACGTAGATGACTGTCCCTCCCTGTTCTGGGAGCATTGCCTGTCCCATCCCTGGGCCCACAAGGGTTTTCCCGGGAGAGACCCAGTGAGAATGTAGCATTTTGTTCATCCCCAGGTTGGTTGTTCTGGGGTCTTTGGCCTCTGCCTCTGAAGAGGGACAGGGAAAGAGGATGTGGACTGGGACCCTTTTGTTGTTACCTGTACAGAATATTTGGCTTTGTGTACTTCACATGCATATGTGTGTGTATATTTTCCCCTGTCAGTTGGTACAGTTTTTAATAAAATCATTCAAAGCAAAGGTGGTGTATCTTTTTCAAAGTATGATAACAATGTAAAGGGCAGTGTTGGATTACCCGATAACAAGGTAAACACCGAGTCTTGGCATGGCACTGTGGGTTAATGTGCCAGACTGCAAAGCAGTTTGAACTGCAAGGTTGGCGGTTCAAGCTCACCAGGAGCTCCTGGGTATACAGGGTAGGAACCAACTTGATGGCATTTAACAAGGTAAGCACAAGCTTGTTGTTAAGTGACGTTGAGTCGGTTCCAACCTATAGCGACCTTGTATAGGGTTTCTGAGGAGCAGCTGGTGAACTTGAATTGCCGACCCTGCAGTTCAAACTGCTTTGCAGTGCCACACACCAGGACTCCAAGCACAGGTTTACTCATGTGTGCTTCCTAATCTGTAGTGAATTGTTTCACGTTTTTCACTACACCAAAGATGTGGTAAAACCATGTGAAAAATTTCACTGAGATTAGTATGTAAGCACAAGTAAGCCTGAGCTTTCCTCACTTACTGGATACTCTGTCAGGAATTACACATTAGAAAAGAGGCTTTGATTCTATAGGAAGGTGCTGAATGTGTTGGGGGAGAGACAGATGCCAGCCATACCCAGAAGTGGAATCTTTGATGTGGTAAAAAAAATGTAAAATTGCTCACTACAGATTAGAAAGTAAACAAGTAAACCAGTGCTTACTTTACTTATTGGGTAATGTACTCAACAAGGGGATCATTTAGACTCCTAACTTTTTTCTCAAGTACCATCCTGAGCTACCGGGAGACTTCCTTTCAAAATCCTCTTGGACTTGAGAAAAGTGATTATGACTACCCAGTAAACCACAAAGCAAAGGGGCCTCAAAGGGTGGAAAGACAGGATTTGGAGTCAGTTACAGATTCCACCAGCTGAATGATCTTGAACAAGTTATATCACTTCTCTGAGCCTTCAGTTCCTTTTGTGTAACATACAAGGATAAGTCAAATAACATTGCTACAAAATCATAGAAATCTTTATTAAACAGAATTATAAAACTATTGTTTCCTGACATCTCTCCTCCATCTAGGTCTATACACTTCTGAAGGTGGTGTCTCCATCTCTCTAAGCCTTCCCTGCCAAGAATTTTGTGTTCTTCAA